CACAAGAAATCTCCAAGCCAGGCATGGTGGCGCACACCTGTAATTCCAGCACTCAGGAGGCTGAGGCAGGAGGATTGTTGAGAGTTTGGGACCTGCCTGGGCTACAAAATGTGTTCAAAGTCAGCCTGAACTGCACAATGAAACCCTGTCTCAAGAAGACAAACACAACAAAACCAAAACTCTAGGCACAGATAATTTCAGTAAAACAAAAAGCAAACTTCGTGCAATAGTCAAAACAATTTAAATATAATGATGTTTGGATGTAACTATAGATTAGATAGATAGATAAAATTCATATAAGTATGCAAACACAAAGAACATGAAGGGTGCATCTCAAATTGCTGATTATAAACCCAGTGTGGTACCACAGGCCTGTAATCCTAGCACTTGGGAGGCTGAGGCGGGAGGACTGCTGCCAAGTTCAAGGCCACCCTGGGCCACATAGTGAGATCCTGTCTGGAAAAAGGGGGGTGGGTGGAGACCTAACTCAGTGTAAAGGCTGGCCCCGGATTCAATCCCTAGTACAGAAAAAAAAAAAAAAAAACATCAAAAGAAAGAGCTCGCGGTAGGAATAAGATGTTGATGTTGAAATACAAGCCGAGACCTGCCATCTGGTTCTAGGTACTGCCCTATCCAAAGTCAACAGAAGCTGCTCAAGAAATGTTAGCTCAGAGCAAAAGGCACATTTCTGCCATTTCTGCATAGAAGGAGAGGCCACCAAATAGGTCACTTTGTGCATTTATTTACAAAGAGGTTAGAGAAACACACAGAATCTGGCCCCCCTGTGCACCGGGGAGTCACCATCGTCATAATAAATACAGTAACTCTTAAAAAACAGAAACAAAAAAAACCTAAATCGGAACAGCTGAGGGTCACCTGCTTTCCCCACTCTCTCTCACAAGGGTGGGGCACCAGATGGAAACCATCTTCCTTCCCCTCTTTTACCTCCCAATCCTCCCTCTGTCCAGGGATAGAGGTAGGTAAAAGAGTCATTTCCAGGTGTTGCCAACTCCTACTTGACCCTCAAAACCCCCAAGTCCGTGCTCCTTCCCTTTCTAGGGCACTCTGCAGGCACCGCGTGAGTCAGACGCAGAGTCTGTGACCGGGGTTCCAAGGGGAGATATCCTAGGGGTCCAGGGCCATGGAGGGGGCACTTTGTGAATTAGAGGGGCCCTATGTGGGCAGGGAAAGGAGGGATGAGAGCACTCGGTGACAAAGTGAAGGGCAACAGACCAAGCTTCTACACTAAAACGGGGATTCAAGTCGAACCACCCCTTTGCATACATGGACGCCCATGGTACAGATGAGGAAAGTGAGACCCACACAGGGGGAACTTCCTTGCCCAAGAGCTCGGAAGCCAGGGCTTCTCCCCCGTTCCGCCCTGCAGTGGGGCCCTTCCGCCCAAGACCACCTTGGACGGGAGCGAGGAGGGTCTTTGGAAACAGAGAACACGGTGGTCTTTGGAAGGTGGGTGTGGAAGGGTCAGCCATCTGGAGTGTGGAGGTGCAGAGGCCATGAAGGGGGAGCCCACGAGAACCCCCAAACTCATACTGTAGTCATGACCTTGAGAGAACCCGAACGGAAACGCAAGATCTTTTTCTTCAGCGCGTGGGAAGCCTTGATCTTCACGAAGACTTTGGCGGGGCCCGCGGGGGCCCCTCCGCCGGCACCGCCCCCGGGCCCGGAGGCCGCGGAGGCCGCCACCAGCTGCTGTGGCCAAACGAGGCCACCGCTGCCGTCCGAGTCGCTGGAGGCCGAGCTGAAGGCAGGCGACTCGCCCTCGCTGGCGCTGGATTCGCTCT